GCTTTAGTGGTTGGTGCATAAATTTGAATAATAGTGGTATTATGAACTGGGCTTCCCTGTAGGCGCATGGATATTATCTTATCACTTACAGCATTGCACCTCATGACTGATCTGGATATGTTCTTTTTGACAATGAATGCAACACCATCCCTCTTCAATTTGTCATTTCCGGCATAGTAAACCATGTGGTCATCAGATTTTAAATGGCCAATACCAGTCCATTTCAGCTCACTAATGCCTAAGATATTGATGTTTATGCGTTCCATTTCATTTTTGACAACTTCCAATTATCCCAGATTCATACTTTGTACATTCCATGTTCTGATTTTCAGTGGATGTTTACAGCTGTTTCTCTTCATTTTGAGTTGTGCCTCATCAGTAAATGAAGGTCCCACGTGCATTTTATGTAGACAATATCTAAGTTGCCTGTCCCTGTCAACCCTGTATACAGAGGGGATAGGATTGATACTTGATGTGAAGGTTCCTTCCCTCTCAGTTGGTATTTTGAGCTACTGCATCCTTAAGTATAGGTCAAGTTCATCAAATTGTAGCAATTTACACTTGTTTTCTTTATCAAAGACTTAAAAAAAAAATGTTTCTCTAGCCGAGTTCTGATCATCAAGCCATTGAAGCTATGTTGAATGGGTAGTGTCTACAAGTTTGGGCGTGTTTGTGCATCTTCCCTTACTTTAATTTCAGCTGGATCCTTTACTTGACTCTCAGCTCAAGCCCTTCTTGGCTATGTCGTGGTCCATGGGCTCAGGAGCCCCCAGGTTTTATATAAGTGATTTTTAATGTGCTTGATTGTTACAGACACTCTTAAAAATGTGTTAGCAAGCTGTGACCTCTCTCTACCCAGAAAAATTTACAAGTTTTTATTTTGTTTTGCTGAACCATTTGAAAATAGGTTGTAGTCACCATGACACTTCTTCCTTAAATACTGCAGCATGCATTGCCCAAGAATTTGGACTTCTCCTTCATCACTTCAGTACCATTGTTCTACCAAAGAAAATTGGTAGTAATTTCTTAGTATGATCCGATACCCTATCCATTTTCAAATTTCCCCAAAATGATTTTTATGTTTTTTTGTTGTTACTGTTTTTAACCGAGATCCAGTCCAGGTTTACAGATTGCACTTGGCTTTCATTTCTCCCTGTTGTTGTTGTTATGTACCTTGGAGTCGGTTCCAACTCATAGCAACCCTGTACAGGGTTTTTGAGGCTGTAAATCTTTACGGGATCAGAAAGCTTCATCTTTCTCCCCTGGAACAGCTGATAGTTTTGAACTGCTGGCCGTAAGATTAGCAGTTCCATTTGTAACCATTACGCTCTAAACCTTTTTAAAGGTTGTCTTCTGAAAGGTTCCACATTCTGGATTTATCTGATTGTTTCCACATGGTGTGGTTTAGTTTAGTTTTTCTAAAGACTTGATTTTGTTCACTCAGGTTAAAGTAGTTTGACAATATAATTCCCTATAGGCATGCTATATAATGTACATGTTGATACACAGGAAGCATATAATACTGGTTTGTCTCTCTGTTAGTGATGCTGGGTTTGGTCCCTTGGTCAAGGTGTAGGTCACCAGATCGCTGCCTTGTCAAGGTACATTAGTAAGTAATCCGAGGGGCACTATGGTAATGAATACCTGTCCTCCAGCACCTGAAATGGCTTTAACATCTGCTGATGATCCTTGTCTTTTTCTAATGGGGGTTACAAAATGGTGATTTTCCTGATTCTGTTATCTTTCATATAGCTGGTGTCCTTCTGCAATTCCCCAAATTTATTCCTCAAATACATATACAATAGTAGTTATATGGTTGGTTGGTTATGTGCCATGGAGTCAATTCCGACTCATAGTGACCCTGTACAGGGTTTCTGAGGCTGTAAATCTTTACGGGAGCAGAAAGCCTCATCTGTTCCTGTAGAAACCCTTGAAGATAAATATTGCTCTCCACAGTTCATGGATGAATTAACTGGGACTTAGAGTACTTACATGACTTCTTAATTATCATATAGACTCAGGCTCAGAAGACAGCACTTGACACTCACCTTTTTTGGTTCGAATGTTCTGAGACTCAGATAGGAACTGGGAAATGAGGGTGCCAAGGTAAGTGGAGCAAAATCCGCTCTCTGCTTACTAGCCTCTGGACTCCCTCTAAGAGCCAAGCCCTCCTCAGCACATAGCAGCCACAGCCCCCTGAGGATTTCCTTGGGACCATCTGCCCTTGTTAGCAGCAGAGCAACCGGGCTAGCCATCTGGGCCAGTTACTGCTGAGGAAGAGTCCTGTGTGGCCAGACTGTGCTCCCTGGGTGGAGTGTGGTTAGGTGAAGTCCAGGTTTCTAAGAGGTGAACCAAGCCCAAACCACCAGACAGTAACAAGAAACATCCATAAAGGGAGACACAGCAGAGCTCAGATTCCTAATGCTTCATGAGTAAAGAACCTTAGTGCTCTTGGTCCTCAAAGGGGACCCTTGACTGTCAGGGCTCCCATGAATGGTTGTGCAGTTGTGCACTGCACAGCTGAGGGAGCATCATAACCATGGTAGACAGTGTTTGTATATGAGCATTTTTTATTGCAGTTTTCTAGCAGAGAACGATCAAATGACTTGTTCTATCAAAATTCATATATTAAAATAATGTCTTAGTTAGCCAATGCTGCTGTAATAGGAATATTTCAAGGGGGTGGCATTAAAGAGCAGAAATTTATTTTCTCACAGTTCCGAACGAAGGCTAGAAGCCTGAATTCAAGGCATAGGCTTTAGGGGGCAATATTTTTGTTGTTTTCACTTTCTATTCCTCAGTTCTTGGAGAACTGAACTCTGCTTACTGCTCACTTAGTTACTATCTCGCTATGTGACATTTCACATGTATGACAAACCTAGTATCCAACTGTGCACTAATGATGTACGTACGTCCTTCAGTAAGGCATGCTGAGGCATGGGGCAAGAGTCATGTAATGGTTAAGATTATATGCCAACTTGGCTGCGCCATGGTTCTCAGTGGTAATGATGTAATTTGGCAGTTATATAATGGATGTAGTTCTCTTTCATCTTGTGCTATGATGTGGTCATCCTCCATTTTTGCCTGGCACCAATGGAACCAGGTTGTTAAGTGAATGTTGATTAAGTGAGAAATGAGTGCACTAGCTGTCTCTGTGCTTAGTTTGCTCTTTTTCTATCTCCAAAGTATATTATACCTGACAGGAATGGCCATATTAACATAACAAAGAAAACCTCATACTCAAATGGGATTACATCCACAAGTGGTGTTGTTGTTGTTAAGTGCCACTGACTTGGTTCCCACCCATAGCAACCCTGTGTAGGGTTTCCAAGGGAGCGGCTGGTGAGCTTGAACCAGCGCATTATCTGACATCATGACTACAGGACTCCACAATTATAGGGGTTAGGATTCCAACACATATTTTGGGAGGACACTTCAATTTCCCAACAGATAGAAGGAGAGGGTCTTGAGGCAGGGGTGGTTTCTCACCAGTGTGCTGTGTGGGCTGGTGGCAGCCTAGCTCTCCACTCTACCAAGCTACCCTCTGTAAGCCTTTTTCCTCATTTGTAAAATGAGGAAGTGGACTACATAACCCATAGGTCCCTTTTCACTGTGACACTGTGTGAGCCTCATAGGAGCTGATAAGTGTCTGTTGATTGGTTGGGTAATTGTTGGAGCTGATGGCCCAGTGCTAGACTGCTACCTTTGTTCCTGCTTTTGATTCCATCTCCTCTGTTCTCTAAGCAGGAGAAGGCCCTCCCTCTTCAACGGAGGGAGGCTCCTCTGTATTCAGGCACCATGGCCACATCGGCCCCACTGCGGAGCCTGGAAGAGGAGGTGACCTGCTCTATCTGCCTGGATTACCTGCGGGACCCTGTGACCATCGACTGCGGTCATGTCTTCTGCCGCAGCTGTACCACCGATGTCCGCCCTGTGACAGGGGGCCGCCCTGTCTGCCCACTCTGCAAGAAGCCTTTTAAGAAGGAGAACATCCGCCCCGTGTGGCAACTGGCCAGCCTTGTGGAGAACATTGAACGGCTGAAAGTGGACAAGGGTCGACAGCCAGGGGAGGGGGCCCGGGAGCAGCAGGAAGCCAAGATGTGCGAGCGGCACCAGGAAAAGCTTCACTACTACTGTGAGGATGACGGGAAGCTGCTGTGTGTGATGTGCCGGGAGTCCCGGGAACACCGACCTCACACAGCCGTCCTCCTAGAGAAGGCTGCCCAGCCTCACAGGGTAAGCTCTCTTCACCTCGTGGTGCCTCCTTCCTTGGGGGATGCCTGCCCTGCAGTCCATCCGATGCCTTGGACGGTTCCTTGTAGGCCAAGGATTCAAGCCTGAGTCTACTTTCCTGCCCCAGCCCCAAGCATCCACCTGTCCCCATTGCTTGTCTTCCCACAGGAAAAAATCCTGAACCACCTGACTACCCTCAGGAGAGACAGAGACAAAATTCAGGGCTTCCAGACCAAGGGAGACGCCGATATCCTGGCTGCATTGGTAAGTGAGGCTGGTGGAGAAGGCCTGAGGTGGCGATTTGCTGTGGTGAGCAGGGCCACAAGCGGACTGAGGCTGCATAGGAGAGACTTTAAGGAGGTGATCACTGGTGAGGACACGTGTTGAGAGACCTGGGCTTGAACCCTAGTTCTGCTGGTCTGAGCTGCGTGGCACTGGGCCTGTTTTCTTATCTGATAAGTGACTAGGCTGCCTAGGTATAGCTATAGGTGTCAGCTAAGGCCCCTTCCCATTCTCTGTGGATCAGGCCTTGTCTATCAGGGAGAGTCAAAGTGTAGGGGAGCTGAGGAAGGCCTTGCTTCATTCATCCTCTCAGAGTAGGGAAAGACACTATTCCTGAGAGTGGACGAGAACCATAGGATTTGGGAGGTAGTTGCTGACTCAGTTAAGAACTGAGAGGGGAGATAGAGAGGAGAGCTAAGGGAGGCCTGACAGCTGTGATGACTAGCTCTGTGTTATTAAACCCAAGGCCCAGGACCAATGGTTGGTGGTAGCTATAAAACAAAGGCAGCACATTGTGTGCTTGATTAGAGATGAAGCAGCAGGGAAGAAACTGATAAGGTGGCTCCAGTTTTCTAGAGGTGTATCTGTAGGGGAAGTGGGCAGTGGAGGTCCGCAGAAAGTCATTAGGCACTGAGAGAGGGAGAGAGTAGAGCAGGAGATGACCTGTGTCCAGGATCCTCCAAGGTCCAGCGTGCACAGAGGGGATGGAGGACTCTGGTCAGAGCCCAGGCTGTACTCAGCAGGGAGGCTCAGAGGCAGGAAAGGACATGACCCTAAGCACAGACATTCCACAGTGCCACTGAGGGAACAGCCCTTCAGGGCAGGGACGGGATGCACACAAGTTTTTTATACAGGTTACAGAGGTGCCAAAGAGAGGATTGGTTGAGCTGGAATAGTATTCATCAAGCCAGCTTCCAGGAAGTGGGTCATACAGGTCATACAGAGATTAGTGTCTAGGAGGGAAAAGTGTCGCTTCATGAGTGAGATTCTGCAAAGTTCCTCAAAGGGCCCAGCACAGATTGGTTCATCTAGAACAATAACTTAGGCTTTAATGGCAAAGAGCTGGGTGAATCTGTCAGAGTCAGGATCCAGTCAGGCAGTGGCTGGTGAACTGAACTCGTTCACTTACTGTGTCTGTTTGAGGAGAGGAGGAGGGTGGACCAGCAGTGCTCTAAAACTCCTCCAAGCCCAGACACTACCAGTCACCAACCATTTGCTGCCCTATGAACAGCAGTGGCTCCAACTCATGACAACGCTACGTGTGTCAGAATAGAACTGTGTTCCATAAAGCTCTCAGTGGCTGATCATTCAGAAGGAGACTGCCAGATCTTTCTGTGGTGCCTCCAAGCAGATTAATGAGTTGGGGAGAAGCCTTGTGCACCTCTTATACTGTGCCTGGAGGAATCCTCCACCCGAGGCTGAGCCGGAACCCCATGTCCTCCTACCCCTGCAGAAGAAGCTTCAGGACCAGAGGCAGTGCATCGTGGCCGAGTTTGAGAAGGGCCACCAGTTCCTGAGGCAGCGGGAGCAGCATCTGCTGGAGCAGCTGACGAAGCTGGAGCAAGAGCTTACAGAGGGCAGGGAGAAATACAAGGCCAGGAGTGTCGGGGAGCTCGCCCGGCTGGCGCTGGTCATCTCTGAGCTGGAAGGCAAGACACAACAGCCTGCTGCAGAGTTCATGCAGGTGAGAGACTTCTCTGGAGCTGGGAGTCAGGAGGTCGGAAGGTAGGTGAGTTTGGGAGAATTGCCTCTTCTTGTAAAATGGGAGAACTGTTTTGATATCACTGTCAGAAGTAAGCTTTCTACAATGGAGGAGCAGTTTGTAAAGTAAAAAGTGCTGTCAAAATGGAGATGGCAGTTGGGTGAGGTTTTCTTTGGAACTCTGGAATTATCACCAGAGAAGTGAGATGGAGATCAGACAAGGAACACTTCTTGGAGAAGGTGGCTTTGATGCTAAGAAAGGGGGAGTCCTGGACTGGGTCATTAAGTCGAAATGACACAGGTCATTAAGTATGAAGCCATTTCCTTCCTACTGGAAATGGCTATCTAGTGGACTCCCCAACTTACATGGGTTGGGGTAGCTGGGTCTGTCTGTCAGCAGCAGAACCACCGGTTTCCTCTAAAAATTGCTGTCCTAGCCAACAACAGGGCAGATGGATGGCTAAGAGAGGAGAAAGGGCAAGATATTCCCCCAGTGAGGGTGCCAGCACAGGCCCTGGCCTGTCTCTCTGTGGATGCAGACTCAGAATGAGGGCTAGCAGGGATTTTAGAACTCTTCCAGCCTAGCTCCTCACTGAGCAAGCTACTGAGGTCCAGAGCGAAATTGGCCCATCCCAGGTCGTGGAGCAGGTCAGTATTCTACTTAGAGCTCATGCCCGGGGCTCCTGACTCCAGGTCTTAGTGCTTTTTTCCTTCTGATATTTATTTTGTCTAAAATATTTTTTCTGGCTTCCCTCTTTCCATCAGAAATCTTTTTGTTCCCTTGAATTTCTCTGCCAGACTCTTTGTGGGGTCCCTTGCTACGCCTTCCTTTGTTCTCTTTCTCTTCTCCTTCTCCATCGGGTGTGTAATTATACACAGCACAGAGAGACCTGGGGCTGAGGATGCTGGCGAGGCTGAAATCCAGTAGTGTCTGGCTAGAGGGTGCCTTTTCCTAACCCTCCTGAAGGAGCAGGTAGACCAGCAGAAGCCCTACCTTCCACGGTCTCAGCGCTCTGACTGAAGGTGTCCCGGGACATGGTGGGGAGAGAAAGTGGGCACCTGTTTAAAACCAATGCATAAAATACCGTTGATTTTAGTGTGGGGTTTTATGTGTTTGTTTGGGTTTAATTTTGCCGAAAGGAAACTGAACAGCTAGCTCCTTAATTTTCATTCATACTTTCTCAGCAGTTATTTGTCAATGGACAATGAGGTTGGAATCCAGAATAGGGGCCTAGATCCAAAATCCTGATAGGAAAATACAGACAAGCAGAAGAAGCAGCAGGGCCAAAGATGTAAAACAGAAAAAGATGTAAAATAGAAAAGGAAAGGAAGGCTGGAGGTATCAGGAAGTTGTTAAAGTTGACAGAGAGAGGAGCATCCTAAAGAGACACTGACGTCCTCAATGTAGCCCGTAGCCCTGGACAGCCCTTTCTGCTTTTTCCACTGTTGGTCACTGTCCACACTGTGAAGAAGCTTCGAGAATGCTCTGTTAGTAACCAAGCATATCCCACACCAAGACTGGTGTTACTCACTGCCCCAACCTCTCCCACACTCTGCTCTGATTGCCTGTTTCACAACAGCCCAAGGTGTCTGTGGGGGTGGGGTGGGGGTGGAGCCTTTGGGGCTCTTCTCTGCGCTTTGGGAGAAGGGCCCTCCTGGCAGAGCCAGTTTTCCCCGTGGGCACTCTGGGTCATTGTCTCCCTGACTGCTCACAACTTTCAGCCCTGAGATGTCCTCTTTTTTTCCTACATCGTTAGGGTCTCCTTTTCTAGTGTTCTACAATTTCCATGTGACAGAGCATGCCCACTTGGCTCCCTGCCCTCGCCCCAGCTACTGCCCCAATCTTTGACTCTTTTACTCCAAATTTCTTAGCACAGTTGTTGGCACACATTGCCTCTGCTTGGGCTTACTTGTTTTGTTGACGGACAGGTTCGAGACATTTGTCAGAAACTCACTGCTAAAATCTCTGGGCTGTTGCTTCATAGTGGAGGCCAGGGTGTAGAGCTGACTTCTTGCATTGCCTCCCGTGGAGCCAAGTCCTTCCTGAGACTGAGCTTGTCATCAAGAACTACAATTTGATGATTCCCACCCTCTCAAAGAAGCCACCCTGCTTTCCCAACCTTCTCTCACTCTACTCTTCTTTTTCTTTTCCCCATAAGACTTATCACTTACTAATATAATATAATGTATTTATTATTTTGATTAAGGGGTCCTGGTGGAGTAGTGGGTTAAGCATTGGACCATAAATCAAGGGTTAGTGGCTTGAACCCACTGTAGGAGAAAGATGTGGCAGTCTGTTTCTGTAAAGCTTTATGGCCTTAGAAACCCTATAGGGCAGTTCTACTCGGTCCTACAAGGTCACTCTGATTTGGAATCAGCTGGATGACAGGAGGTTTAGTTTTGTTTTCTGTTTTTATGTTGGTTATTGTCTGCTTTCCTCTGCCAGATTGTTAACTCTGCGAGGGCTGGGATCGGTGTCTCTTGCTCACTGCTTTATCCCAAGTTTCTAGAGCAGTTCTTGGCACATGTTGTTGCTATTAGGTGCCATTGACTTGGTACTGACTCATAGTGACCCTTGGCACATAGAAAGCATTTAATAAATATTGTAAATGAGATAGAGGAAGATAAGATTCATGTTTTATTGTTATGAAGGCTTTAGATTCACCAAGGGAATGTAAGTAGCATCTCACAATTGATCATCTTCCCACTCCAGCCTGTCCGTCTGCTCGTCTTCCCTGTCACACAAGTGGTGTGTGTGTGACTGATGCTCCCTCCTATTCAAGCCAGGATCTTGATTCTCTTGGACCAGTCTGAGCAGTTAGTCTGTCACCAGAAGACACCAGGTGTCTTCTCCTCACTGCCACTGTAGCCTGAGTTCAGACCCCTTGATTTCTCACATGATCTATAGCAACAACCTTCAGACTCGCCTCACCACATTCACAGTGCCTCCCTCAGTCCCTTCTCTGCAGGGCAGCTAACTACTGTACCAGACTCAAAAATACAGTGATTCAAACAAAGCAGAAGCTTCTCTCTTGGTGATAGTCCAGAACTTAGGAATCTAGAGCTGGGAGGGTGACTGTCTAATGAGGTCATCAGGGGGCCAGGTTGCTTCCATTTCATTGTTGTTCTACTAACTCCTAGGGATGTTGTCCTCAATTGTGTCGTCAAAGTTCGGCTCGCTATTACTGTGTCCAAAATTCAGCCAGAAGAAGAGAAAAGAGGAAGTAGAAGGCAATTTTCCTTTTACCATTTTTGGGAAAGGAATTTAGTCACACCTGGTTATGTATATGAAGTCCTGGTGTGGTGCTATGGATTAATACGCTGGACTGCAAGGTCATTTGAATCACAAGGTCAGTGGTTCAAATTCACCAGCCACGCCTCGGAAACCTTCCTTATACTGACTCGACAGCACTTAACCACCAGTTATGTATAGCCAAACGACTCGACAGCACTTAACACCACCAACAGTTATGAACAGATATAAACCTGAGAAATGTGGTTTCTTAGCTGGGTGGTCATCTGCCCAGCTATAACTCCAGGGGCTCTATTACTGAAAGGAAGAAGCACAGAATGAATCCTGAAGAACACTTTAATTGTCTTGGTCACGCGTACAGTAGATCACATCTCTCACTCTCCTATTTGAAACCCTTTGTTGGAGCCCTGGTGGCATAGTGGGTTATGCATTGGGCTGCAAACCACAAGGCCAGCAGTGCAAATCCACCAGCTGCTCCATAGGAAAAAGATGAGACTTTTTGCTCTGGTAAAGATTTGCTGCCTTAGGAGCCCTATACACAGTCACTATGAGTTGCAACAGACTCAACAACACACAAGTGCCAAACCACTTTGACTGTATTTGGAACTAAATATAAACTAGCCACTGCCTGGAGTCCTAGCATGGCGCTACAGGATAATGCACTGGACTGAAAGGTCAGTTTGAACCGCAGAGTGGGCGGTTCAAACTCACCAGCCATTTCTCAGAAACCAGACTCATACAGGGTCGCTAGGAGTTGGAATTGACTTTTAGGCACTTAACAACAACGATGACCACCGCTTAATCTAGTCCTGCGTGATCTGGTTTCTGGCTCCTTCTCCAGGACCTTTCCCACATTGTCTTCTTCCCACTGTTCATTTGACCAGCACCTCATCCTTCAAATCTCAGTGCATCTCCACAGAGAGGTCATATTGTCATTTCCCTCATTCTTCCCACCCCTTGTTTCATTCTGTCACTATGATTAATTTGTTGTTGTTGTTTTAAATCTGATATCTTCACATCTCCATAACGTGGGGGCCACATTTATCTTATCATCCGGTCTCTAATACATTGTATATGTGAATGGTTTGGTTGATTGACATTGATGCTTGTGTTTTTTCTCTTCCAGGATACTAGAGACTTCTTAAACAGGTAAAGGAGCTTCCTTTCCATTAAGCACCTCACTTCTCATTGCCTATCCCCTCCATTGTTTCTTGACCATGACCTATTTGAATTAATGGGGAGTAATAATGGAGCTCTGGTAGCATAGTGGTTATGAATCAGGCTGCGAACCACAAGGTCAGTAGTTTGAAACTACCAGCTGTTCCATGGGAGAAAGAAGAGGCTTTCTGCTCCTGTAAAGATTTATAGCCTCGGAAACCCTGTACAGGGTCGCTCTGAGTTGGAACCAACTCCACGGCACATAACAACAACAACAATAATGACACCAGAGACTCCCTCACTCCATGGTTCATCCTAATACGCTTCCTCATTTCCTTCTGGGAAATAAAGTCACTTCCTTTGAGAACTAGAGATTTGCTCTCCACCTGAGCAAGTTCCCTGTGCAGTCTCAGCTCTTAAGCCCATTAGGGTTGGAACAGAGTGGAGCAGGTAGACAAATGGCGTAGTGGACAGACGTGCCCTGGATGCGGAGTCAGCCAATGGTCTTAAGCTCTGGCTCCGTCTCTTAGCAGTCTTGGGCAGTTCCTTTGGTGTCTCTGAGCCCCCGTTTTCCCCTCTGTTGACAGGGTAATTATACCTTTGTCCCATCCCCTTCACACAGTGGTCATAACTCTGGGTAACAGATTGCCCTGTCTGCCACATCTCAGGTACCCACGCAAGAAGTTCTGGATTGGGAAACCCATCGCCCGGGTAGTTAAAAAAAGAACTGGAGAATTTTCAGATAAGCTTCTCTCTCTGCAGCGAGGCCTGAGAGAATTCCAAGGTGAGGGTTGCGGGGAACCCTGGGATGGGTGTCTGCAATTAGGGTACCAATTTGCGGTGGGTACTTGGGCGCCTGGTTGACTCAGTCTCTGAACTCACACTTTGGAAATCTCCTTGCTATGTTCTCGTTTCTTCCTAAAGTCTTAGGGATGGAGCCCTGTCATGAAATTAATACCCCCCAAGTGAGAAGTGGACTCTCAAGTGTGCTGGGCTTGAGGGTCATTGAGGAGCCCTAGTGGCACAGTGAATTAAGTGTTGGGTTGCTAACTAAAAGGTCAGCAGTTTGAATGTACCACCTGCTTCAAGGAAGAAAGATGGGCACTTAGCTTCCATAAAGATTTACAGCCTGTTCGTTCCCAGGGGGTTGTTGTGAGTCAGTATTGACTCGATGGCGGTGGCTTTTGAGGGATTTTGATTTTGATGGTGGTGGGTTTTGATTGCTCTCCTTTTTTTTCTCCTCTCCCTAGGAAAGTTGCTGAGAGACCTGGAATATAAGACAGGTGAGTGTCCCAGATTTACTTCAAATGCATGCTCTCCCTACAGACATTCTGCTCCCCTCCCTCTCTCCACTCGCTCTCCTCCTTCTCCCCTGACTCCCTCACTGCCCCTAAATAGCCCCTTCTCTATGCAGCAGGGAGAATTTCCCAGCTACAAACCTGAATCCCTTTTCTTGCATTTTCTGACCAACCTGCTGTTGTGCAGTGTGCAGTAGAGGCCTCCAGTTGATAGTCTGACTCCTTTCCTGCCCCATGTTTAGTTGCTGTATCTGCACAGATCTTACCACGCAGTCCTTGCCTGTGACCAAGTTTCTTCTCAGCTGCCTAACCCTGTGGATCTTGTATTGAGAGTAAACAGCAATGGTAACCTAAAGCAAGAAGCCATGTCTGCAGCAGTCCCTCAGCTGTGCATCCTCTCAGCCTGGCCTCCATGCCTCTCGGGGCACATTCATGTAGACCAAGATGTGATAGTGCCTCCTGTATTGTGCAGGGTGGTGGCCCGCCTGCTACGAAAGCCATGGACACCCTACAGCCAGGTGGTGCCCTTCTGAACTACCTGACACCATCTCTTCTTCCCTTGTCCCCACAGTGAGTGTCACTCTGGACCCACAGTCAGCCAGCGGGTACCTGTTGTTATCAGAGGATTGGAAGTGTGTGACCTACAGCAACTTGTACCGAAGTAGCTATTTGTATCCCCAGCAGTTTGACTGTGAACCTGGGGTACTGGGCAGTAAGGGCTTTACCTGGGGCAAGGTCTACTGGGAAGTAGAGGTGGAACGAGAGGGCTGGTCTGAGGATGGAGAGGAGGGGGACGAGGAGGAAGAAGTAGAAGAGGAGGAGGAGGAAGAGGAGGCAGGCTACGGGGATGGATATGATGAATGGGAAACAACAGATGAGGATGAGGAATCGTTGGGGGATGAAGAGGAAGAAGAGGAAGACGAGGAGGAAGAAGCTCTGGAAAGCTGCATGGTGGGGGTGGCCAGAGACTCTGTCAAGAGGAAGGGTGGCCTCTCCCTGAGTCCAGAGGATGGCGTGTGGGCGCTGCGCCTCTCTTCCACGGGCATCTGGGCCAACACTAACCCTGAGGCTGAGCTCTTTCCGGCTCTGCGGCCCCGGAGAGTGGGCATTGCCCTGGATTATGAGGGGGGCACCGTGACTTTCACCAATGCAGAGTCACAAGAACTCATCTACACCTTCACTGCCACCTTCACCCGGCGCGTGGTTCCTTTCCTGTGGCTCAAGTGGCCCGGAACGCGCCTCCTGCTGAGACCGTGAGCCATAATGCCTGCCCCCAATCCCATAGCCTCAGATGCTTCAGTTCTCGGGAATTCCAGGACGCTGTGACCTTGGGGTGGTGGGGACACGGGTGGGGATGGGAGGATGTGTCTGGATATAGCACCTGGAGCAGGGAGAGGAGGGACCCCGTCCTTCCCTTGTGAGGTTTCCGCTGCCAACCCTCCCTATTGCTGTGGCCCTTTGACACTATACTCCGCACTGTTGCTCCATCTGTGCTGCCCCCATCTAGCTCTTCTCAGACCTCCTGTGGGGCACCTGTTTCTCATCACTGCCTTAGGCCCAGCTCTGTACTGTTTGTTGATTAAGTTGCAGAGGCTGTGTCTCACCCGTGGTGGCATTCCCTGCCAGCTGGCCTCGGGGAGAACTTGATTACATGGAAGGCTATTTTCCTGACCTCAAATCTCTCAGACGCTCCCTTGCTCAAATCTCCTCTGCTGCCTGGCTTCCCTAACAGATCTACCCTCACTCCAACTCAGAGTTGAATCCCCCTGAAAGGGCTAACATGAACTGAATGGAACTCCACTGAGGCATCCCGGGCCATGTAGGCTAGCCGGCTGGAATGTCAGTAGAAATCATCTGCTTGTGAGGTCCAGAGTGGAAGCCTGGACTTCTTGAGATGAGAGCTGAGCTTTCAAGTGTTCTGTGACTAAGGAGCTGACTCTCCCCAGATCCATTTTAGGAGGAAGGATCTGGATACGTGTGGCATTGGAGAAACAGTTATAATCATTCTCAATAATGCGTTTTCTCTGGACCGATCCCCTTGGTGGAGGGAGGTTTTTAAAAAGGATCCTGAATGTCTGGCTCTTGAGAAGTCCATCTAAAAACACCAGGGCAGGGCCTTCTCGGTCTTGGAAACTTACCACCTGTCTGATAAATTCCTCCAATGGGGTATTAAGCTTCTGCCAGTGGTCTAACTCAATATCAGATTTCATCTTTCTAGGAGAGGGCCTGGGGTGGGAAGATGAAGTTATGTGGGGATAGAAAAGGAAGGCAGCAGAGGTCTATAGCGAGCCCACTAGCACCTCAGACTAAGGGAAGGATTCATGTGTTTCATTGTCCACAGCCCAACCCAAGTCCCTGGTCTCCTTGGTCCAGGCACCTCCTCATCCTGCCACCCTCATGCCCACAGTTCAGCACACAGGCCCCTGCTCCAGCCATACTGAACTCAGTCTTTGTCCTCACACTTATCCATTCTAGCTTCTCTGCTTTGCCATTCCCTTGCTTAGCCAAGCTTTGACCCCTCCCCTGCCCTAAGAGACTGTTGCCATCAGTGGTGGATCTCTGAACCACCACATTGTCTCGAAGTCGCCCACTTTGTATATATCACACGTTGCCTGAATCCCATGTACATTGATTTCAACAGCTAGTTTTGTAAGCTCCTTGAGGGCAGATACCACATATTTCTCTTGTATTCTCCATGGCACCTAGAGCAGTGCTGGGCAGAGAGTAGGTGCTCAATAAAATCTTGTTGAATGACTGGCATGGGTATATATACTTTATTGTTAGGTGCCATCAAGTTGGCACTGATTCACAGTGACTCTGTGTACAACAGAATTAAACATTACATGTTCCAGGGTCATCCTCACAGTCGTTGCCACATATGAACCCATCGATGCTACCACTGTGCCAGTCCATCTTGCTGGGGGTCTTACTCTTTTTCTCTGACCTGCCACCCTAGCAAACATGATATCCTTCTCCAGTGACTGGTCCCTCCTGACAACATGTCTGAAGTATGAGAGGCAAAGTCTGGCCATCCTGGCCTCCAAGGAGCCCTCTGGTTTTACGTCTTTATACTTTATTTATACTATTTATACTTTATTATAACTCAAATGGCATCCTGGTGTGGTGCTGTAGGATAAACAATGGACCGCAGGTTGGTTTGGAACCGCAAAGTCGGTGGTTCAAACTCATCGGCTCTCCTGGGAAACCTTATGCCAGATTGCTATGAATCTGACTTCACTTGAAGACACATAACAATAACAGCATACCTATAGTTATAATAATCCTACTTAGGTGAGGGTTGTCTTTATTATGATAAATGAGCAGGAGTTGGACTGGACGTTGCTGTTAGGTGCTGTAAAAGTTGGTTCCCACTCATAGTGACCCTATGTACAACAACAAAACAGCCTGGTCTTGCGCCAACCTCAGTTATTACATTGAGCCCATTGCTGTCGCCACTGTGCCAGTCCATCTCGTTGGGGGGCCTTCCTCTTTTATGCTGACCTGTGTGAGAAAAAAACACAGCAAGCTGTGTGAGAAAAAGTGTTTGTTAAAGCCACCCATTATGTTGTTGCTGTTCTTAAGCACTGTTGAGTCAGTTCCAAGGTTTCTGAGGAATGACTGATGAAGTTTGAACCACCGAACTTCTGGTTCAAACCGACTTTGCAGTTCAGTGCTTATCCTACAGTGCCACACCAGGACTCCTTTAGTTATCTAGTGCTGCTATTAAGGAAATACTTCAAGTGTGTGGCTTTAACAAACGAATTGATTTGATTTTCTCACAGATTCAGAGGCTAGAAGTCCAAATACAGGTGCCGGCGTTAGGGGAATTTTTTTTTTCTCTCTGTGCCAGCTCTGGAGGTAGGTCCTTGTCTCTTTTGAGCTTCCGTTTGGGCAGTTTTCATGGGGGTTGGCATCCCTCTTTAGCCATCTCTGCTTCTTTAATCTCTTATATCTCAAAAGATGGATTTGAGGCTTTGGAAGACTCCATGGCACTTAGCAACAATAGCAAATTTGGGGAGACAGTTAAAATCTATGCCAGTATGTTTGAAAATACAAGTCAGTGCAATGGAAAATTATGATATTAAGAAAAAAGATCTCTTTGCTGAAATGATTGTTGGGACTAAGAGGAAGCAGAGTCTAGGGAAGAGACTTCTATGGTGAGAGATGATGGTGTAAGATGTGGTAAGAGAGACAATGGTGGTAATAAGAGAGATGGAAAGAAATGAACAATTTTGGAATAGATTTTGAGAGCAGAGTTATTAAAAGGACTTGCTGAATAGATGAGAGGTGGTTAGGAAAAGAAAAATCATGAATAATTTGTAGATTTTGGGCTTGATTAAGAGGACAGTTGAATGTTGAGGATGACGGAAGTAAGTTAGGGAGCAGGTGTGGTAGAAGTGAAGAGTTCGATTTTACTCAGGTTTGAGAATTTGATTGGACATCTCTTATTTCTCAAAAATAATGCACATACATGTTTTTTGCAAACAGAGCAGCTCCCTCATATGTTAGCTTTCTGTGCATGCTACATGCATTTTGCGTATGTGGGCAGTATTTATGTGGGTGTGTCGCATGCAAAAATATGATAAATGGGTAATGCAAGCAGATAGTTGGCTGTAGGAGGGCAGGGATGAGGCTAGAATTTGGTAGAAATTTATAGATGCCATTTAAAGCCATGAGTTGAGGCAAATCAAAACTAGAATGGCATCCATTCTGATCCTTAGGGCACTGCAACCTCTAGGGGCCATGAAGAGGAGGACCTAACAAACTGAAGAACCTTTAGAGCTGTAACTAAGCTTAGAGCTATAACTAAGCTCTCTCCAGGTTCCAACATTGCTCTCCCCCATAGATCTCAGAACTGACGATGATTATAGCTATTAACTCTGGTAGTGTAGTGGTTACTAATTGGGCTGCAAACCGCAAGGTCAGCAGTTCGAAAATACCAGCTGTTCCACGGGAGAAAGATAAGGCGTTCTGCTCCCAGAAAGATTTACAGCCTTGGAAACCCTGTATAGGGTCGTTATGAGTCGGAACCAACTCCATGGCACATAACAACAACAACAATATGATGGCTAGGAGCCCTGGTGTGGTGCTGTGGGTTAATGTGCTGGAAAGCAAAGCCGGTTTGAACTGCAAGGTTGGTGGTTCAACCTCACCTGCCACTCCTTGGAAACCCTACACAGGGTTGCTGTGGGTCAGAACTGACTCTACAGCACTTAACGACAACAACACTATGATGGCTGAGTCCTGATGTGGCGCTGTGGGTTAATGCGCTGGACTACAAGGTCAGTTTGAACTGCAAGGTTGGAGGTTCCAGCTCACCAGCCACTCTTTGGAAACCTTATTCAGTCGAACTGAATGGCTGGAGTCCTGGTGTGGTGCTGTGGATTAATGCAGTGGACTATGAAGATGTGTGCAAATTGTGGATGGAAAACCAGTTTCCTGTGGAAGTCATAAAAAAAGGTCTTTAAAAAGCGGGCTGAATGATGAGAGATTGGGATAGATCTATTTCTTTCATCTCAATATTTATACTTTTTATTTATCTTTTATTGTTTGTGTTTTCAAAGTTATTTGTATAAAGTTCTTCACAATGTAGTTTTTTGTCTTGTCACTTAAAATATTTATTTGTGATTTTTCTTCCTCTTGATCATTGATGGTGACGGTTTGCTATTTTAGTAGTCTTTTCAAATAACAAAATTTCAATGTTCAACATTTTTATTATTTCTCCCATTTTCACCTAGTTTATTTTTGCTCTTATTTCACTTCCCTCTTACTTTCTTTACGTTTGTTCTAGTGCCTTTTTTTTTTTTTCCC